AAATTATGAACATTGCTCAACATCATGAAAATTAAACCTTATTTTCAATAAGCAATCCTGAAAAATATTTGGGGGTGCTTAACTTTTTTCCAGGTGTATATAATGTGGTTTCGATGTTATTCGAAAAACTGTGTAATCACAGTATGTAAATTATGAAGATTTTGTAAAAAAAAAAAAGAAAACCTGGCCTGTTTCGATGTGAGAAAGGAAATATCGTACATGGGTCATCAAAGCTGTTATTTATGTACCTACTGGTGGTGGTGGTGGTGGTCAATATTCCTGCCTATCTTCTCGAATATTCTCACGTAAAATATGTTTGGTAGTTCTTGAATGTCACCTATAAAAAAAAATTGAAACAAGTTCGATATCTAGAAAATGATAGGTGAGCCCTAAACGGCTGAATCTTTGGCAAAAGGAGTTTAGAAAAGAAAAAAAAAACTCCTTTAGATTCTTTGATTCATTTCGCCAGGGTTATGTCTGGTTGTTATGGCAACAACCTTTCTCGATTGAGCAACAAGCCATACCACAGAGTACAATGTCTAAAAGCGATTGCAGTATTAGGGGATTAGCACATAAATACTTTAGTTCAGTGTTTGATCCTTCTTGTAAACGAGTTGTGTAAAACTTTTTGTTGTGCCAAACAATTCTCCCTTTTTTTTCCTTTTAAAAGTAGAAAAACCCTCGTTATATATATATTTTGTTTTCGCCACAAACTGAAATAGTAACCAAGCCGTTTTCCACTGTTCTTAACGTCGAAAAACAGTTGTCAAATTGTATCTTTATTTCGTTAACTGACTTTTAGCGACTTGGCAAGCCTCTGATCATACATAGGATGTTTTAAAATCCGAATTCTACAAACATCTGAAAATGTCAAGTAATTTTGTAACACAGCTTCTTAGTCATAGTACATTTGAACAAAATTTCGAAATGATAAATGATTGTTTATAATTGTCTTCTCTCCCACCCCCCTCGTTTGTGTGTGTGTGTGTGTGTTCATTTTAAGATCGTTGTTAGGTATGGTAAAAACAAACACAAAAGAGTAACTTACTGTACAAGTAGGCCCGGCATGGCCAGGTGGCTAGGACGCTCGACTCGCAATCTGCGGGTCGCGGGTTCGCTTCCCAGTTCCACCAAACATGCTCGCCCTTTCAGCCGTGGGGGCGTTATAATGTGACGGTCAATCCCACTATTCGATGGTAAAAGAGTAGCCCAAGAGTTGGCGGTGGGTGGTGATGACTAGCTGCCTTCCCTCTATT